GTATTTTTTTTTATCCTTTTCCTTTATTTATTCCGATGAAAACAGTTTGATTCTTGTGGTAAAACTACTTAAAAATTGAACATACATGTATTGAAATCCTTATAAATTTACCCCTGGGCAGGATAATCTTACTTAAATTATGTAAGAATAAAAAAGAGGCTGTATAGGAATAACATTTGAGGCCTTTCTGCATGAATGAAAATGTATACTAGTACTTGATAAAACTGGAACCTTGCAAAACACCAAGTAAAGTGCAAAAGGTCACAAGAATTTAAAAAGAGGTTGTCCATGTTTGTCACTGACTTGCAAAAAGTTGGATATTTCATGAAATCTGTACAAAAAATATTGATTTAAATTGGAATTTTTTTTGGCAAGATCCATGAAAAATCCGTTTAAAAAATGACCAATAAATGAAAAATGCTATTACTAAAATAGATCTATACGATTCAAAATTTTATGTCACTTTAAATGCTTAAATTAACAGCTGTTAAACGTATATATTTGAATCAAACATCAAGTAATTTCACTTTTAAAGCCCTATTTCTGGACAATTTTTTGCATTTAACATGGTTTTACTGGAGACTCACTCTTAATTACTTAATTCTTAATAATATTTTATCAAATGTAAACATTGCAATTAATATAATCTTTTTTTATGGAGAAATCTTTTAAAATACATTATTGGAAATAAACATTGCCCAATAATGTACCTGTATTGTTCTGTGACACATTGCACTAATAAAATATCAAATTTTTGATATTAAAATCCTAATTAACCACATACTATATTTTCTTGTATCAAGCTTTTTTTTTTTTTAATAAATTTAGTGCTGATCTGATAGGAGTATCCTATTAATTCAAAAAATGAAATAAAAAGTAGGAGCCAGTGATGTAAATTTTGAAATACCGGTCAAATTATCCATATTTCAGGCTAAAAACGAAGTTAATTTTATCTTGACTTTCTCAATATATCAGTCCTATCTACAATTTTTGGCAAAATATGACGGATAAATAACGTAAAAGTGTCTATGAGTAAAAATATGTATGGCCAAAGTTCCAGCATACTGAATAAAACAAATGTGTAGATTTTGATAATTTTCGTCTTAAAATCCTTCCAACGCAAGATATAGCCTTTCATAAATATCTTATTTTTAGCCTATTTTTGTAGCTGTAATTTGATGCTGTACAATTTTTAATTGTGTACGTTTATTTTTTAATTAGATGCTGTTTAATTTTTTTAAGTGTAATTTTGATATGTTATAAGAATTCAATTGTACATGTAATTGAAAATTTTGATTTTAGAGGTTCTAACTAGCTTAATTTTTAGCCGGGCTTTGCTGAAAGCAAAGTCCTGGCTGTAGGCATCGTGATCGACTGCCTTACTATAAATAGCATATGTTCAGAAAAGTAAACAAAAAGCCTAACAGCGTCAAAGCAGACGCTTCCGATAAACAAAATAGTCACATTGAAAGACGATACTTAAACAAATATTTTTTACATCTCAATCTACGGAATTGTTTATTGATCAATATTTTTGTTTGAGAATTAAATTGAAAGAGGAATTAGATATTTAGTTTATTATTACCGTGATATAACAATTTGTGCACATACGCTACTGAATGCATATTGTAAGCGAACTATTTTCAATAAGCGCGGGCTTTTCGACAGGTTGCCTATATTTCATATCGTTTTCGTCGATGTTATGTGAGTGGTTATATTCTCTGTTTTGTCTTTCAGCAAATAAATACCTGTAGATAAGTAAATTGGAGTTTAAAGAATTAAAGTGCGTTATGCCTGAATTAGGTCGCATGACAATTGTACATGGTGTATCTGGTGTATCTAGTCGGCGATAAAAGTAGTGTTTGTTTGAAACTTTAAGAATATCTCTAAAAATATGTGCATTTCTTTAACTATGAATTACATAAATTATTAAACCAATATGAATTTAATTTTTTTTAACATTAAATTCTAATTCAAATCTATCTAAAGAAAAATCAGCAAACCATATGGTTCAACATTCTTTTAAAAAAAAGTTTGGCAATTGACAGGCAAACATTTTTTGTAAAAAAATTAATTGTTTTCTTAAAAGTTAAAATTAGTTACCTTAAATGTTTAAATTAGTGACATTAAATAAAACAAATGACTTATATATTCCCCTCACTAGCCATATGTTATTGGTAGAATTTAAAAAAAATGTATGACAATTTTGTTCGTTTACTGATATTATAGTATAATTAGTCTGACCTATATTTATTTACGTCCGTGATGCATGTATAAACAGTAAGCCCACTGACAATGTCGTGATATCTGTAATTGTTTTTTTTTTTAAGATCAGTATAGCGTTAAGGTGTCTTGAATGGCAAGAAATTTAATGTAATAATGAATTTTAAAAACATCGGTGGTCATTTATCAGATGTAATTTGGTACGATACCGTGTTAATTCCTGCTGATATTTTCAGGGTTGATCTTGTGAAAACGGCTTAACATGAGACAATTTATTAAAATTTTCCTTTCAAAATAATTGCAAAAAGATGATGATTTTATTATTATATTAACGGCATAAAATAACAGCGAACACCGACTACTTGCAGCAAACAAGTGCGCCGCCATTACGAATTCGTAAAACAAAGAGACAGTTACGGATACTCGTAATTTTCTGAAAAAAAATGTGTAGGAGGTCAGTCGGGTATAACCGGAAACAAACAAATTTTTTTTAGCCTAATGATGTATGTATGTAAATATTCATGAAGATTAATCTTACAGTTGTAATACTGGTAATGCTGAAATGTTTTCAATATATATATTACTACTCAAATAAAAAAGTTAAGATTTGAATGCGTTTAAAGAAAAGGGTTTGAAAATACGGTATTACTTCGATAACCCTGAATGCAATTAAAATAACTTTCTCCTTTCTAATAAATAATTTCGAACAAAAATCCTTATGATGGTAAAGATCTTGTGTTTGTTTGTTTGTATGTTGTTTAACGTCCCTCTCGAGAATTTTTTCACTCATATGGAGACACTACCACTTGACGGTGGAGAGCTCCAAATTTTGTCCTATACTCGGCACTTACGGCCATTGAGCAGTGAGGGATCTTTTTCGTGCAAGCACCTATTGCGACACGGGCCCTCGGTTTATACGGTCTCAACGGAAGGACCGGTCTCCACGTCCCACAGTGGGATTCGAACCCGAGACGTAAGGATTAACTCCTTACTTCGCGACTCTAGAGCAGACGCTCTTACCACTGCGCCACGCGGGCGACTAAGATCTTGTGTAAAGGTGATGTAAATGAAGTTCAAAACTATTTCTTTTCTTTCATAATATGAAATAAACAATGCGATTCCATTTGGTTAATATTTTAATTTAATAGTATTGATTTAAATGACTGGGATAAAGATTTATATCCTGTGAAGCATGGAATATAAATAAATAAAAATGTAAACTTTAAGATAGAAATTTCATGTGAATATGTTTATGTATAATATATAAATTATTTATACCCATTTAACAATCAATTTAGCGTCGAAAATTTTTATGCTTACAAATTCAGATCAAATTTTTAGTGAAAAGTCAATGGTATATTTTGAATGTGAAAATTTTGTTCGAGACTTCTCACCTTAATTGGATTCATCTCGCATGTGCTCCCAAAGCGCTTTACAGTATATTGAGCGTGCGCGCGCATTCCAAAAAAAATTGGTCTTAAAACATATGCAAGCTCTCAAGGGTGCTGGGAAATAAAAATCGTTTATGTTAATATATAATTAAAAGAAAACAACATATAAAAAATAATGTTCATTAGTCTTTATCTAAGTACAACACATTATAATTTTTCATAAAAAGTTGGTTAGTCTTTGCTTCAAAACTTCCTGTTCAGAATGAAGAGCCATCTATGTACGAGCCATAAAGACCTGAATACATCATGATTTTCTCAGACAATGACCATTATGGCCGAACCTGGAACTAGAACTAGACTCATATTCATGTCATAAAGATTAGATAATTATAATTTTCGTGCAGCTGGTTTCCTAGAGGACCAAAAATAAAGAATATTTCTTTTCTGATTAATACAGGCATGTAGTATCATTATCAGAAAAAGGAGAATTGTCCAAACCCAAAAAATCCTATTCCGTTGGAGAAGGAGTAGGGGTGGGCTACAACTTACTTTCACATTTCGAATTTCATTAATTCATTACCAAATTACCGTACTTTTAATATGCTACAAAAAAATGATGGGTACAATCTAATTAAAATTAGACTATCCATTTTGCTTTTAGTAAATCTGTTCGTCGCTCGTGATAAATACCTGGTTTATATTACGAAGAGTGAGTTGAAAGTTCCAATTTAAATTTGATTGCGAAGAGTCAATCAACCTTTCAATGTACATTGTCCATTGTAAAAGTTTATGTTTGAAAAATGGTGACACCCCTAGCACCTCCGATACTATATATGTGCCTGTATGAATCAGCAAAACCACTCAAAGTGCACTGTTACCATGCATAACCATTGTGAGCTTAATGTTTAGAAAGGTATAAATGTATTTTCATTAAAAATATCACCAAGTCCTATCCTGGGGTCTTAACGTTGGGTTCTGGACCGTAAATTTTAATTATTGGTAGACGGGTTATTGTTAATTATAATCATACAAACTCGATCTGTTAAATATCAATGGTCAGAAAGAAAGATTTTAAAATATGTACTAATTCAGGATTAGACAATACACTCGAACATATTAAAGCCCGGCTTTCAGTACTTTCAGTACTTTGATTTTGATAGGGATTAGCACCTTCTGTCAATGAATAACAATACGCTTGAAATAATGTACACACTATAGTATTTTCTTTGTCATTTTGCATTTGTATCCCGACATTTGTTTTATTGCGAAGGGGGGAATACCATTTATGATAATGTTTCTTCAGTATTAATAAGTGGTAATTCCAAAAAAAATACATAGAATTTCTTTCTTTCAGCCGACGTTAAATCATTTGTTTCCATTTTTCAGAACTGAGCAGTTGGCCCTGATCGAACAGAAGATAGGTAATTCGCCGCCAAATTTTAACGACGGTAAGAGTGACAGGGATAGATTTGTGTTAAATTGTTGGATTATTACTATTTGCACTTTTTCTTGTCTGTTGGCACATAAAGAAAACAAAGCCGTAAATCTGTTGAAGGTATATTCGGTATTTTACGGATGTCAAATCGTAGACACAGCGACCCAGAGAAATATTAATCGTAGAATGGTTGCCAGACAGAGATTCCACAGAATTTATGCATTGGAAAATATGTTTATTTCTGATATCGTGAGGGGCACGATTAACCGAAATGTTTATGATTAAAAGAAGAAACAAATGTGTATATTCCCAGCTTGCTTTAAAACTCATTTTGCATTTGACGTTATCATTGCAAGAAAGAATGGTTTGCTGACTTAATATTTAATATTCTTAACATCTACATGCATTTGTATGACTATAACACTCCTCTATTTAATATCTCAAAAAATAAATTTAGATTTTTTTTTAAATTTGGCATTATTTTGACCTTAGAACCTAGATTTATTTAGAATTGACACAATCAAACTTATCGTGGCATGGAATAAATTTAATGAAATAATTAAGAATTTAAATTTAGTAAGGCAACGAAATTGGGATACAACCTTTTTCTAATAGCAATGGAAGAGAATTTTACTTATCCTTACGATGTAAAAACAACTGTGCCATCATAAAAAAAAAAATTAAACTTATATCAAAGCCTTGAAAAAAAAGTTGTATACAATCTTAAAAGAAAAGTCAAATCTGAGACAGTTCATTTCACTGAAACTATGCATAATTCATTTGGCCAGAGACACTGTGTCCAAAACACCACTGGCTAACATACTTAACATCAAGGCTTGTTTACTGTTCGTGCACTGTTTGTTATGTAAATAAGCTAAATAAATAATGGAAATAAATTAGATGCTGTACGGTTTGGCTCCACGTCGGAAATCTGAGATTTGGCAAAACTGAAGTGGAGAGTCTTCGGGTTGTTAAAAATGACAAGGAAAATTTTTCATTTAAAAACGTGTTATTGGGTTTTAAAATTAATTTCCTTGCAAATGACATGCAGGTTACATATTTTTTGTCGAACCTCTTTGCAATGGTCTATATTTAATTTATCAGATTCAGAGAACTTTACATTTCTTCACGATTAACCCGTCGAACACATCACATAAAAAAGCAAATAATCGTTTTTTGAATATACGATATAAAGAAACAAGTCGTTAAGAGAAAACAGTTTGTGTATTCTCTCTCTCTCTCTCTCTCTGTTATCTAAGATATCATGATAAGCACGCATAACATATAAGATATATATTGGTAAGGTCTATAACATAATTTATGAACGTGTCCTGATGTAAGAGGTAAATTAACGTTATAACAATTAAAGCATAAATTATTGGAATGTTTCGTGAAGTCTTCTCTTACCCACGAAATTAAACTGTATAAATACACCTAGACAATATATTGAAATGAGCTCTCTTTACAGTTTTAGACTAAATTACATGAAATACCTGAAATAGGGATTCTATGGGTAACCATTCTCACGTAAGAAGCATTAATTTCAAAAAACAAAAACAAAACCAAAAAAAAAAAAAGCAAAACAACTAGATGCTGCCATAAGAAAGTAATACCCGTACGTAGTTTTTGCCTCTAAATGTTAACCTTCATACTTGGAGAACAAGAGAAGAAGCCACAAATAATTCTAAAATTCGACAAAAAAACTATGTTTTTCGACTCCACTTGGCCCCTAGGGTGAATAAAAATTCCAAAACCTTATTGCACTTTTATAGGACACCACCAATCATATTCCAAAAGATGAGTTGGCTACTGTGCAAATTTAAGAGGAGTTCAGGGGACCAGGTTTTTTGTAGAAAACCGTCGTTTTTGACCCCCAATCGCCCCAGGGTGAAAATCGAAATTCCGAAACCTCATTGCACATCTACAGGACACTCTCGATCATATTCCAAAATATGAATGGGCTAAAACTGTAAGAAGGGTTCAGGGAACCAGTTTATTTTTTAGAAAAAAAACTTTTTATACTCCAATTTGGCCCCCAGGGTGAAGATGAAAATTTCAGAATCCTTTTGCACATGTTCAAGGTACCACCAATCATATTCCAAAGATGAGTTGGCTTTTGCTTAAAATGTTAAAGTAGTTTGAGGAAGAAAATATTGTGATAGGCGGACGTACGGACCAAGACAAAAACAAGATTCAAGGCACTTTCTTTGGAAAATGCAGGTTAAAAAAAACCCTGTTGCATTTTCTTGTGCCTATAAAGTGGAAGGGGATAGTTTCGTACTAAAACCCGGTCAAATTTCTTAAAAACTGAGAAATCCCCTGTTTGATGTGATATTTTATGAAGAAAAAGGAATAATGATGGGGTATTATGTGCAGTGTAGCAGAGTGCTTATGCAATAAATGATGTGCAGTATGTAGGTGTCGCTATGATGCTTAGCATACACAGAGCAGCTGTAAATGAAAACTAAGACACGTTGTCAGTTACCGAGGAGATTCAGCAGGAAAGCTGTAGGACTGAGAAGGACGTCTGTATCTTTGAGGGAAGGTGAACTGGCCACAATCAATTGGTGAATTTTCATTAGGACATACACTGATCTACAGAATGCTGCGTGTTTTATCCCCCTTGCTCAGGAGCGGGCTGTATGGTTGCGGATGAGACTCAAATCTAGGAAAAACAAGCCCAAATCTGGGGAAACCCTCAACTGCATTTTCGGTACACGTGCACTCTAATATGCAGATTACATGCTATATGTTGATATATTTTTTTTACCTTTGGGAAAAGAAGTGCAATTACATAGCCCCCAAAAACTGTCTCCGGGTATCTATTTTAATTTTATTTGCCAACCCATCGGTACATGTTTGGATTTGAAAAACTGTCCCCTGCCATTTAAACAAGGATGCACGGTAAATGATAAATCACTTCGTACATGTAAGTATTTGGAGTTAACAGTAATTTTTTATGGTCAACAAACCGTGTTCTATCTTATCAAATTACATTACAACGTTTCACTGCGTCTGACGTCAAACTTTCAAAGTTTCACTACTCACAAAAATCTATATCACTTAATATCTGTATAAATGAAAGGGTCTCCGACTAGCAATTCCTCGTTGGATAAAGAGTTTCTTTTTTGTATATACTCACAAAGACTAGAATTAGCCTAGATTTTGAATGATTCAAAACAAGAACAGAATTGGTAAAGAGATTGCAAAAAAGTAGTAGCTTCTGCATCCATTTTGCTGACTCAGATAGTTTTGAATTATCTTCTATAGATAATCTAGAATGACGTCAATTTATGCTTTTAATCTTTAAAAAAAAAAGAATGTTTATGCTATTTCATTGTTTTAAAAACTATCCAGCTAAGCTCTTTGAAATAGGGAATGTAATACGGAACTTACTATTGACCTCCAAAAACCAATATAACACAATTTACCGCAAGTTGAGTCACGTTTATGGTGTATACCATTCTCTTACGGTCAATCAGATCCCCTCGGACTTAAATTGATTAATAATTGTAGGTAATAATTGATGGCAATCTCGCGTCCAATAGCAATCATAAGGGGACTGTTCCCAGTGCGAGTATCTTATTATCCACCCGCAACCCCGTCACTCCTGCGCGTTAATTGCTTGTCAAATAACATACCCCAGGAAAAAAAGGGGGAGTTGATTCCATTTGTGGTAGGAAAGCAGCAATCCAGCTTATGTAAAAGCAATGCGCAGCGAGATATTTGGACTGACATATATTTCAGTGTCATTTCCAAGATTACTAGCTGGTAATGATGATGCAAAATTGCAACCTTGCATTTAAAGCGATCAAGCCTTTAGACTAGTAATTGAAAGAATTATATTTTGTCAAGATCTGTACAATGTAAATCAGTATTATGTACATTTATGATGTACGACCGTTGGGGCGAGGATTGATGTGTATTACTGGACACATGTACATAGCATACACTCTTAATTTAGATCTTCCTCTTCAGTCAAACCGCACGAGACCCAGTCTCAGGTAATGTCTTGCCAACTGAGATCATCGCTTGGCGAAGGAACAGTCACTATTTATGTTAACGTCGTGTAGGTTTGACGCTGCGCCGGGAATGAGAATCGAACCCGGTACCTACCGATCATGAAGCGAGCGCCCTACCACCAGGTTATCGCGAATCGATATTTGCGTTTGAGGTGATAATGTACACAGCAGCGCACGAAGAGCGGCGAAGTCTATTTTGGATGAATTGTCACTTGCTTCCAGTTTGGTTATCTCTCTCTCTCTCTCACACACACAGAGAGAGAGAGAGAGAGAGAGAGAGAGAGAAAAGGAGAGAGATTGGACGCATTTCTAATATTTTCAGTTTTATCCGGCAGCTGTTCCCCTAAGTCAACTTGTTTTGCAAATATCACAGATTGAATCCTTCCCTCTATACCTATCCTAATCGAAAGATCAATTTTAAATTTATGTACATGTATCTTGCTATAGTCTATTAGTGTTCTTAGTTTCAATGAATTCGGACCAAAACTGTGAGAAGAGTAGTGCTTTGAAGATTTTCATCAAAATTTGTAATTTTACTTACCATGGCAACATTCATCACTGAAATTAAAAAAAAAACGATAAAGAAAATTGTAGCTTTTGAAGGTAATCTACTTGTTTACTAAGTTTTATTTTAATCGGATCAAAACTGTACAAAAAATAACTTTTTGCAAAATACGGTCACCCTACCACTGCGTTAACTCTACGTTTTTTACAAGTAAAGGTTAAAATGGGGGGGGGGGGAGAGAGGAGCATATCAGTGATTGATTTTACTTAAATTAAAATTGACAACAAGGTTGTCAGTTATACTACACTTTTAAATTGTAATTCTTTTATTTTTAGACTTTGCAACAAAAGTAGAATGTCAGCTTGCCATCGACAGTTTCGATTCCATTAATGAAGTAGATATGGTAGGTTTGTTTGTTTGTTTGTTGTATATGGTACGTAAAACGTTTTTAGAAAACGTCATTTTTTCATGTTCAAAACAATGATACAGTTGTAATATATTTAGAATGAATGTTTACACAATTCTTACATTTTACGTGTAATTTAACAGAATGAATTATCTAGAAACGTTTTATCCTTGATAAAATTCGATTAATTAGTTAATTAATTTTCTAATTAAACATGGTTTATCTTATACTGATAAATCTATAAATTTTACCTCTGAGGGACCATACTTTGAGATTAATGGTACATACTGAAGATTCCTTATTTTAAGCGTGTTCAATATCGCGTAATGATTCCAAAACATAAAATCGCGAGAATATAAATTCGCGATTTGGACTATTGATTGAAAGATTTTGCATGTATTTTGTCAACATAAATAAAAGCGAGTAATTTTATTTCGCGAGTGGTGCTTCTCGCAAAATTACGCGATAATAATTTTTCGCGTAAAATTTTGAAATCTACGGTATTTCATTTTTTTCTGTTGGACTAAACTTTGAGATCAATGCTGCATATTTTTACTATTCTGTAGGACTTTACAGTGAGTATAATGCTACACTTGAGTTGGCTGGACGCCAGATTTACGGTGTGGACTTCCGGTAATGAGGATATTGTTTTGGAGTTTGACTCTAAGAGACTTGACAACATATGGACCCCTGACTTGTTTTTTCCTAATGAGAAAAAAGCATTTATCCACCAAGTGTTCATGCCAAATAAAATGTTACGTGTGTACAGTGGAGGCAAAGTCTCTTACACTGTCAGGTATAAATCTACACATTTCAATTTGAAATCAGTTTTTCCCTACAAAGAATGAAACTTTATAAAAGGTTAAACCTGTAACCAGTGCTATCAAAGTTCTTAAACGACAAAATTACTTAGAAGCATAAAGATTTGAAATTAGATCAGATGAAATAAATCAAATTAAAAAAAAAATAAACAAAATGAAATAATAAAAAAAAAACTTGGGAAAAAAGGGTTCAAATTACAAAAAAATAAACACAATTTTTGACGTCAGTTTTGCACAATATCATTAATCTGACAACGTCCCAAGACGAACAAAAATTTCGTCTTATATAGACGTTGAACTTTGAATAAAATTAAAGCTGTATATTAAACCTTGCAATGGAATTGGGAAAACATTTAATATGCACCGATATTTCACGGCATTTCAATGTAGCTTCTGACAAGCTGATCTTGTTTGAAATGTGGGGTGATTAGGAACGATCAGAGGGGAATGAAAGGTGACTTGGCAAATCTGGTTATATTTACATGGTATTTAGAAAATGTTCCATTTTGACAAGCGGCATGGTGGAGTTCTATTTTTGATTTATTTAATCTGGTAGTTCACTGTTGTGATCGACGAAAGATAAACAATAAACCTTCTAGGACAACAATTTTGACGGGTCTATGGCAAAAACGTTTCCATTTATTAAGGAAATAAGCCTATGAGCTTCCTCGTTAGAGCTCAATACCTTCAAAAATTCTTCTTTTTTTGCGTTTTACTTTATAGTGCTTTTCATTGATCATGCCCTGTAAACGTTCAACAGGTGGCAAAGTACGCGCGAGTTCTCTTTTCATTCATCCGCCAAAAGATCACACCCTTTTTACCCATGTACATGTAAAAGTCACTTAAATTCAGCGTTTGAACTTGGATTGTAATTATTTTTACAGAATTCTTTCTATAATTTTCAACCTTCATTGATATGATCATAGAATTTCCTATCCTTTCCTCTCTCTTAGGGTTTGAAATATTAAAAGAAATATTTTAAGTTGCTTATTTATATTTGATTTTGATTTTTCTTCAGACTGTCACTAACCCTTAGTTGTCCAATGGATTTAAGAAACTATCCCTTCGACAAACAAGTCTGCAGGATAGAAATGGAGAGTTGTACGTATTCATTAAACATCATATAAAAAATTAAATTTTTCTCAAAAACAATAAAGATTTATTTGTATCAACACAATTAACCGTTATCAATATCTTGTCAATGATAGTCAGCTACAACGAAGATAACATTATTTTGGAGTGGGCAGGGATGGAAAAACCCGGAAATGAAAGCCATCCCGGCCTGGTTAACGTGACTCAGAGGGTCGAGATACCTGTGGAGATCAGTGACAACATAGAAATGAATCAGTTCCGGGTCGTTGAAAAGCACACACTCAAGACTCTTAACGAACGTAGAGGGGCAGGTAGCAAAATCATAACTTGATCATGGCTATAGAATAAAATAATATTTTTAAAATAATATAATAAAATTTAACAGTTATTAATTGTTCGTGTCGATGGTCAATTTTTAGTGCTTTGTTTAAATTTCCATGACGTACATCCGACACATGCGATATACAGTGTTGTTGGTTAGAGAGTGCGCGCTCTCTCTCTCTCTATATATATATATGTATATTGTAAGGACATCAACTGGTTAATGTTTGTTTAATGTTTTTGAAAATAATTTCATATAAAACTTGCAATGATGATTCAATTAATCTACTTTTTTTAAATGCACAAGGGCATCAGTCAATAAGCTTGACAAAAAATGGCATAAAAATAGTCAACCTTTTATAAATCAAAATTAAAATAAACAAATTTCAAGCATCATTCTTTTCAGGAAATCATAGCCTCCTTCAAGCCGAGTTTCACCTAGTGAGAGACATAGGATACTACCTGGTTCAAATGTACATTCCCAGCATGCTTATCGTCATGTTGTCCTGGATCTCTTTTTGGCTTAATGTGAATGCCGTGCCCGGGCGGATTTCCCTGGGTGTGTTGACTGTACTGACAATGACGCAACAGAGTTCTACAGTTAATGCCACCCTTCCCCGTGTCTCATATACTAAAGCCATTGATATCTGGATGTCCTCGTGTTTAGTTTTCGTGTTTGCGGCTCTCATTGAGTTCGCTGTCGCCAATGTGCTAGCTAGAAAGGACAGCAACAAAGGATTCAGTTTCAAAAAAATGTTTCTCCTACCAACTCTGAGTGAAAAAAGAAAGAAAAGGAAAGGATCAGGGGTATGTCTTTAGACTGATAACAAATATCTACATATCTGTCCATTTTCCTGACAAAATTGAGTGCATGTCAACGATTCAAAACTCGGGTCTATTAACCTTTAATGTGTTGCTAATGGTGTCTGTTGAACAAACTTAACATTGTTGTGGAAACAGATGGAAGGGAAAAAAAATCATTTTTCATACTGAAAAATATTTAGCTTAGGGGCAAAGAAAACACTGCACACTTAGACATTTACTAAAATAATATCAGGAATGATCGAAAGATGGCTATGTTCGAATTCTCCCCAAATCACACGTGGTTATCACCAAAGGAAAGCGAGGCTGGCTGTGAAGTTTTGATAATCAGCCCTTCGAGCGCCAAAACATAAACATTCAACTCTCCATGTAGCTCTTCACCTCTAGTCGCTCATGATTGAAGGAAGCAATCTGTCTTCTTTTTCCCTAATCGAAGTATCCGTAGATACATTTCAAGAAATTTTAAATGTTATATTTTTTATTGAATTTCCAAATAGGCTCAAATTGTTAATTATAGATATTTTACCTTTAAAGACAATTAATATTTTAATACATCTCCTGATTCAAGAAAGGGTAACTTTTATCATTTTTTTCCCCAAACAACTGGCCATTTATAGTTTATCAATTCCAAAAATGGTGTCAGGTACCAGTGAATTTGATAGCCATTAGGTTTATTTATTTAGATTAGAAGCAATGTTTAAGCAGCTCTTCTGTTGATGGATATGTTAGGTAAATGTTTATTTTCCACTTCAGGTTTTAGTGGATGACAAGGGACTGATGCGACTAGATCCTGAAATGGACCCAACTCTTGTTCAGAAACATCGAGAACTTTCCGGATTGTTGCACGCTATGTATTTGGATGTAGCCTGTCGCTTTCTGTTTCCGATTTGTTTTGGAATTTTTAACCTAGTGTATTGGACAATTTATACATCCGATCGTTTTGATAGTATCGTTTAGTGAATAGTGAGAGACTATAATTGTGATGATAATGATTTCATAACCATGCACTCCGGCTTTTCCGATTGCGAATATTTCTATCATTTCTTAATGAAAAAGAACGCCATCAGTTTCAGGACACCGATGCCATGTGCCGTTTACGACATATGATTGACTTCACCACAATGTCGTAAAACACGGGCTTTAAGAATAAACACATACTGAGCAAAGACATAACTTTTCACTATGTTGATTGCTAAATAGTTTTCCGAGTGTTTGTATCATCAATCAGATTACATTCCATAGATTTTACGATCGATTCGTTGTCTTTCTGAAGCTCAAGCTTAAATGTGTTGGTAAATGAGTGTTCTACAAATTCAATTTTATATGTAAAAAAAGGTCAATTGTTCTGTTCATAATTCATGTACATCATAATGAATGGTTCTTTGCTCTTTTTTATTTGCTTGAATTGATATATTTATCACGTGCTTCCGTTCTGTGTCAAATTCTGTGATAAAATGAGGGGAGGTAACAGAGGAACTTTCTGGACTTGGGTGAAATTTCCTAGAAAAATAGTAAAAGAAATGGAACTCTCCATACAATAGACGTAAAGCTGCCATTTTGACTAATGATTATGAATATTTGATATGAATATTTGATATGCTCCATGTAGATTGAAGTGATTTATGAAAATTAAAGTTAGAATAAAGTTGTTTCAACTCTGAATTAGCAAGAATGAATGGTGAATAAATAATGTTTTCTTTATTTACTGTTTTTGGCAATAAAAGTCTTCCTGAGGAAATTAAATCATTGATTCAGTTATAGATTGTTTGATGTTGTATTGTAATAAAAATTATATCTTGGGAATAAGGGTTGCAAAATTTAAAGCTCGTGGATCGGATGGGCAACGACCTTTCGGAACCCGCCAAAGGGTATAGAAAAAACAGGCTGCTGATAATAATGATGACGTTGATACAGGAAAGAAAATATATTTACAATATGAAACATAGGAATGGTCAATTAAAAACAAGCCTCACGTTCATATTTTCTTGTAGAGTGTAGACAAAACCATGCTAATATCCTATTTCAGGGCGTTTGTTTTTTTATTTAAACAATGTTTGTGGGAGTTTGTCTAATTTCTACCTTGGTGTTATAGGGATTTTGTACCAGTCTGTGTGCACATAATTTTGACACCTGCTGAAGGTGTTGATCGGTGTTGGCTAATTGGAGCTATTAGCAGATCACAGTGGTGCGTTCATGCGCAGCGGTTCTACAACAATCTTAGTGAGAACTTTCCAAGCGACGCGGTGGTTCCTAGAATGTTTTGGAATTATTAGCTGTTAATTAAACAAAGCGCGGTACCGCAACAGTGAATAGGAAGTGCAGCCAAGGGGGTTGACGTCACATATATGCTATAATAGCAAAGCTTGTCTGGATACTTAGTCTATGACTAAAGCAAGCATTTGTTCTAAAAAGATTTCATACTTCTTTTTTGTAATACCATTTTAGTCCCATATATATTACCAATTGTACTTTATCCATAGATAACCTCGCAAGAGCTGGAAGCTATATTTTCAAGTAATCCTAAGCAAAATATGTTCCCTAATGTCATTATCAAATCTTTTTCTGACTGTAATTTACAACGAGCTCCTGTGAGACTCCATGGCCTTTAGTAACCCAGGGTTTGAATAGATTTGCATTATTTATCCAGTTTACCTCTCTCTCTCTCTCTCTCTCTCTCTCTCTCTCTCTCTGTGCATGCTTGTGTGTGTTTGTGTAAGGAAGTGGGGACTAAAACTTAAATCTTTTGGAGGATGATGAATTCCCTTATTTGTTAAAAAATGTCTTCATATTTCACACTAACTCATCAGTTTCAGTATCATCTGATGTATCAGTCACCAAACATTGCTTTGTTAGATAAATTTGAAATCCTTGCACAGATCCAATGACCATGCGACAACGTTCATGCTTCTTTTCTTAGTATTATAACTGTTTAAAACCACTTTTTATATATTGAAAGTATTCATTGAATTAGAGAAGGCCATTTTTATGAAAACCTTTGATATTTTAAGTTTAATCAATGACATTAAATAAGCATACTTTATTTTTGAAAAAAAAAATGCATTAAAGTACCTGTGTACATTTCAAGATTAAATAGCAAAATAATTGACCATTGTACCTTGTCAAAACAATAGAACAAGGTTCTTTGGCAGCTGCAGGCAGGGAAATGTGAGTCGATACTACTGCACTCAAATAGATGGGACTGATGCACTGCAAATATACTTTTGTCCAGTTTGGAGTCCCCGCCTTTAAGAACATGGATATGCTAATTTATGATTAATATTTCACCATATACTTTGTAATAAAAACACCGATTCCAAACTGTGCGATACGGCTGAGGTCATCATACCCCATATCAATGCCAGGTCCGAAAATATATCACGTATGAGACCAGCTTGCAAAAATGCATATCAAATCGGAAGAATTTTGGAAAATTAATTAATTTCATTTTATTGAAATAAAAATATATTAAAATTATGTAACTATCAGATGTTGACTTAAGGATATTCGCTCCCCAGCCAGGAACGATAGCTCATAAATACTCATTTAATTTTAAAAAGTCTCAAAATTAAGCTTGAAAACTTGCAATCTTTTTTTTGGAACAATTTTCATTTCAAGCATCTCAATATGATTCACGGTTCTTTGAAGTCTTAGAAACGGACTTGTAAAAAGTTGACATTTTTACCACCCAAAAAATCCTAAATTATATCTGTTGATCAATTTTCAATAAGCAAAAATGCAAAGCTGGTGCTTTTATTCGCGTTTCCTAAAAATATATTTGAGATTTGATTATTTTCTCTTTATAATATGATTACATGATGAAGGAAATACCATGGGTAAATACACTGTACTTTGTGAATTCAGAGAAATTTTTTAAGCATTTTTAATAACCTAACTACTGAAGATCGGACTAACAATATTTTTTTTTAAGTGACTTTAAATTGCTCTATTTAATAATAATAAAAAAAGGTGTGTACATGTATCAAACATTCTTTAATGACTTTGAAAGGTAAAAAGAAGATATCGAGTATTTTCAGTATATGATAAATGGAATACTACAAACTAAAATCCATATCGTATGTCAAATCAGCCCTTAGACTTATTTCAGCCCGAGGGCCGAAGGCTTGGTATGGGGTCACTCGAGCTGATATGACATATGATATGGATTTAACTATGTAATAATTTCTATTTATCAAACGGTAATCCTTTTCAAATGGAAATCAGTCAATGGATTAAGTCTTGTATCCCACGGTTTGTCTTTCAACGCCTCTTGTGTATTGTAATCATGACAGATCGATTGCGACAGTATTCATAATTAACTAATTGATACATGAAATAAAAGATACTACTTTAAAAATAAACAGAAGAAGAAATTTTAGTGTTGCAATATCAATGACGTTAATTACGTGACGTAGACTGCTGAAGGAAAAGTAACTGAACAATAAAAACCCTCATAAGTAGACCCTATGTGTAAAAAATTATTTTAAAAACTCCGGTGTTTTGTGTTTATACTTTATACTGTTAGAGTTTTAAGCTTTCTTTCCAGTCACCAAAGGGCTTGAAGATTCAAGAATGCGGAGAGAATAAAGAAAAAAATTTGGTAGGAACTATACCCCCACCAAAGGCTACCCCCACCAAAAGCTAAAAAAAAGTTGTATACAGTTCATGCCCAATTGAAAAAAAACAAGAAAAATATAGTGTATAGATTACACTGAATTCACCAAACAAGGATATACATGTGCGTGGATTTTAATGAACTTTAATGAGTTTGCCATACATTCAGAATTTTACCGGCTAAATGCGTGTGCGTGACACTATATCGTATTAATATTGAGTTTAAAATTGTTATATAACTTCATGTGCTTCTTTTAATTCTCGTCAAAATGTTAGATAAAAAACCTGTTATCAGCAAAAAAGTTCATTAATAGCATGATATCACGTCAAACTGTCTTAAATACTGGTATTCTCTGCCGATTGTCGATTATACCTCTAACAAGTCAACAATACCTGTAATTCCTGTGTCAATCAGTCGATAATTCCAAACAATCGACAATACCAGTAAACCCTGCTAATCAGTCAACAGTGACATATTACCGTACCAATACAATCTGTTGACAATAAAGGGATACCATACCAATCAGTCAACAGTGTCACATTACCATTACAATCAGTTGACAATACCAGTAAATCAGTCAACAGTGTCACTTTACCATTACAATCAGTTGACAATACCAGTAAATCAGTCAACAGTGCCACATTACCATTATAATCAGTTGACAATACCAGTAAATCAGTCAACAGTGTCACATTACCATTATAATCAGTTGACAATAAAGGGATACCATGCCAATCAGTCAACAGTGCCACATTACCATTACAATCAGTTGACAATACCAGTATACCATGCCAATCAGTCAACAGTGCCACATTACCATTACAATCAGTTGACAATACCAGTATACCATGCCAATCAGTCAACAGTGCCGTTTTACCATTACAATCAGTCGACAATACGGTATACCATGCTGACCAGTCAACAGTAATGCATTACCATTATAATCAATTGAGAATACCAGTATACTATGCCAATAAGTCAACAGTGCCATTTGCCATTCAATTAGTTGGCAATAACGGTAATAACCATGGTGACCAGTCAACATTGTGCTTTACCATTAATACCCATGCCAATTTGTCGACCTCACTGATTAACATGCCAATTATTGTGTGACCAAAAAGCTCACTGACCTTATTGACGGTGACATATGCGATTCGTGCTAATCAGTCAGATACAGAACCATTTTGTTAAATATATTTATCATTTTGCTTCTTTTTCATCTAAACTGCAGAGCTATATCTAAAATCATTTCCCCTTCTGCATAAGTATTAACCGCATGTTTTAAATATACGTTTACTAGTCTGGTATATTAACATGCAACCAAAAAGAAGCACATTTTGGAAGTTTCTTTAGAATATAATAACGATGAAATCATTTTTCTGCGAGTGAAAAAGGGTACCACAGGCGCTCTTGCTAAAATAAATGCACTAAGCGAAGTTAGTTCACTCGGTATCTATTCGTAACATGATAAAAACAATAAATAAAACCCTTTCTCCAATTTGAAAAGAAAATATGCCGATATGGATCCAATTTAGGAGAATGTTATAAAAATTCTCGTAAAACAAGACGTCAGTGATTAGGATGTTACCGTCTCATTTCAAAGGAACCCGACATTTTTTACATGATGGATATAAAAAATGATGACGACATACATAACTATATAGGGAAGTAATTTGTTTAATGTATTACTAATGTTTGTTCATCTATGTCTCCTACTGTGTACTATTTCTGACTTATCTTGAGAAATCTCCCACAATGTCTTGTCTGACGAGGCTTTATATATTTTTTACTTGGAAATTGATGGTTAATTAACAAGATTCTTAGTCAGTTGAGTAATAGCAACAAAGAAAGATCACAGAATAATAAAACAGCGTATTTGTAAAATTCAGAGGCACCGTGAATTATAAAACCCTTGCTATGTCTGGTTTATAATAAAAGAAAGAGATGATGGAGATTTGGCAGCGGTCGCTTCTTGGGAAGAGTTTGATAAAACGATAAATATGGTCATTAGGACCAAGATACATCGATTATAAATTTTTCTGAAGCCCGAATCAATCACGCTAATTAAATACAAACCATCAGATGCATATTGTGTTTCGCAATATTTGGTAATGCTGCTAATAAAGCTTCTAGAAACGAGATTTTGGAGAATGTTCTGAAATCAATTTAACGGACAATCTCAGTCAGTATTCCCTCATTTAAGACGGTGAATTACGTCAAACAATGACACCAGGAACTCTCTGTTTGAATTGATCCCGTTTTAGGTGAAAGTTGGTTTCCAACTGGCTACTGTTTTTTGTGGCGTAATAATTGTGCGTTAGAATAAATGATTTAACCTTGTTGACTTTAATCCTCTAAATAAATAGTTGTTCATGACTATAATGGGTATTTTTACTAATGTTTCTCAGTTCGGAGATAAGACGAATTAATATCAAAAACTGCGTTTTTGATAGGAAAATTGAGGGGGAAAAAACATGTGACTTTAGTACGAGGACAACAATGAGTTTCATTAAAATACTTCTTAAAATACATGTACGTAAGTGTCAGACAACATTATCAGAATTGAGAAGTATACCATTTAGAATCGCCACTACCAGTATTTTAAAGAATGTATATTTTCTAAGTTTATGTTTCAATTTATATGACAAGTCTCAATATATCGATCCCTGACAATTTTTTTTTTAAATATCAAACTTTTTATGTTGTCATTACATGTCATTCAAATTTATATAATTGTAACATGTACTATTCAAAGTTTCTAAAAATCCAAATCCTACTCTTACAAAACTTGAAAAACACAGTGGAATATTTTTTCCTCTCTTAAAAAATTGGGGATTTTTTTATTCTTCGGGCTCTTTGCCCACTTACATGTTTACAAGTATCTTACTATAGCTTTGTGGTTTTTGACTTCGAGGCCACGTCGTCTAATAAAGAACCGGCTAATGTAACTTAAACATTTCAAGCACATTATTTTTAAATTATTTTCTAGAGATACGTTTCATTGCTCACCAACTGAAATAAGATACTATTTTTCTGTCTTGACGACTTATCAAGAAACTAACAGGGGCAAAACTTTCCCTCGCAAAAGAGCATATCGATCCCGAGGTAAATTGTTACTTCCGTTACGCACCTACTCATCCACACACTCACAAGCGCGTTATTATACCCCCTCCAATTTCGTTGCAAGGGGATAAAAATTGAAGTAGGTAGTTTTAATACTAAGAAAACATATTGTCTGGCATAATTGGTGAGAAGCTAAAATCCTAAGACCATTCCGCAGATGTTTCATCATTAGTTCCTCAAAGAAATGCAATCATGATGAATCAAAATGTATACATATCTACATCTCCCTAATAAACAAAGTATACAATACACGAGTACACAGTACTTAAGATTAAATTTCAATGACTTTTGAGGACACAGTTTTGTAGTTAACACGTATGTAATCCAATATGTTGACAAAGTTATCGTTCGCGTGATGTAAATCCGTGGATAACCCACAGAATCCACGAACATTGGTCTCCTCAAAGACTTTGATAAGAATAGTGGAATGTTATATTAATTATATTAAGAATATTTTAATCCTTCCTGCATATAATCTAGAAAGAAAACACTAATTTCATGTCATTTAGTTTATTCTGTTGTTCAGTTTTATCACTATACCGGTATTTGATTCAAGATATCGGAAACCTGCGAAAAAAGACCTATACTTACTTTTTGTGGATTCTATTCAATTTTTGTGTTATATAATGAATGCATCCTAGAGAATATTTGATCTTCTGCTGATTCTATTTTTTTTGTGTTTATTCACTTTCAATTGTGACCCATATAAATGTTTAATATAATTCACATGCAGGGAAAGGGCGTAATAAGGTTTTAGAACTTTTGCCCGATCCGAACTGTACAATTTAAAGACAATAAAATACGTTCAAACCAAAAAACAGGTCATAGCGACAGTTAGCATGGCGCATACGAAGCAGCTGTAATCTCTGGATAATGTGCTTTTTTCTGTATTCGGTGGCTGATTATTTACCGATGATAGTTGTTTCTGCTAAACCAATAAACGCGGCGATGCCAAACGATCCTTTGTTCACACCAAAACTTCTTTTATTTAATGCCTATGTTTACTGTGATTTGTCTGGATAATAATGATCTCATTAAGTCCCTCCTGAAAAATTAATTATTTGATCATGGGTTGAGGGACCTGGAGTTTTTGTACTAAATCTTATGTTTTTAATTTAATTAATTCCACGATGCGGGGGAAACCTGTTTTTCTTTTATAATCATTGGTTTATTTATTTGTTTCTCATATTTGCTTAAAAACCGAATCAAATTAATCTTTTGATTAGTTTAATTAAATCTTCATAGCAAATCCCCTGTAAATTGGCTTCTGTATACTTGAAGCTCTATGTCCACACCCCTTGCATACTTAGCCGTACGATTTAACATACCCTACATCAAACAATTTTTAATTTGATATTGATTATTGTATTATAATCGTGTTGAAACATCATGTATTCAATACTATGTTGAGTACTGCATTTATTTTTGAAGTTCTGAATTCCCTTAGCTATTATTTTCACTTTAATAAAACTACAAATTATTTATTTTGATGAAAGGTGTATATATCTTACGCTATCGTCATTGATTTAAAGCGAAAATACATATTTCAGAACCAGTTAGATTCGGATGTTGAATTTTAGCGCGTCTTTCATCGTCCGCTCTCAGACATCAGTGAGTTTGGGGAACATACTTAGCTGGAGTTACGACTGGTGATTAGATTGATAAAAAAAACGATCCCCGGCTTTCTGCCAACTGTTTTAACTTAGCTACGAGGAAAATATATAATTTGATTCCAGAAACTGCTCATCCAATTGTAAATATTACGGTTCCGAATTTTCAATGTCGTGAGGGACTGAGAGCTACGTAAAAAGAAGATGAAGTGGTCGTGGATTTTACCACTCGTTGCTGGATTCTCCGTGGTTATTGCACAAATTAAAGGACCTAGTGAGAAAAAAGTATTAAGGTATGTGTAGAACGCCATTATAATTAAACACGTGTATATATGTTTACTTGGTATATTTCCTGTTTTGTTTTAAGTTAAAGCGTGTCGGAGACCTACTGAAACTAGAGAGAGCAGTGTATGAAATATACGTCAATGTACAAATGATTTCGAATTTCAAATGTTTTATGAGTTTATATGAATGTTAAGTATTTTTTTGTCTAAGAAGAATATTATTATTGTTTATATTGTCTTATTTATCTTGTCCATGTTTAACAGAAGGCTTTTTCTTCACGTCTTATGCAAAAGCTTTATATTTAAATGCCAATATTTTCTTCAAATTGTGATATAAACATATGCAATTTTGATTAAGCAGTTGCAATTTACATAAATTGATAATAACTTCTTAAATTCACTTTCAAGCATAAATATTTCAAAGCCATACCGAACAAACCAATTTGTATACTATAGACGTATAGTGAATCCCTTTCTATTTGCATAACCTTTACAATATAGATATACTTGACACATTCAGTACACTTAATGTCTTCCCACAAATTTTTATTAAATAGAAAATTTGGTGTTATGACTATTAGTCATGACAAGAAATTTTCTATTTTAATGAAAATTGTGGGAAGACATTTGTCTATAATTCCGTACACGTAAAAACGCCAAATGTATTCAAAAGTGTTTAGTAACTCAAGTTATACATTATAAATGAAAATGAAGTGGAACGATGTTTTCGCCAATGAATATGATTATGAAACGTTCTCTCCGCCCACGTGATATTTCGTGGTGAGTAGTAGTACAGGTCGCTCTGTACTTATTGATAGCTTGGAAGTTGCTATATCAATAATTCCGCCAAAGAACTTGTGTGTTTACCCATACTCTGTAAACAACAGACCTATTTTGTATAAACACATAGGTCAGACAATGTTATGTGACAATGCATACGATAATGTGCATGTAATATTACACATATGTATCTGCTTAGTAAAGAAATTCGAAGATTGTGCTGTCAATTTATTTTTAAAATATAATCTTTCCGAAATAAAGGTGATTTGCAGACTATATCAAAATTACATTTATTTGAATCATGAAATATGTTAAGCAAAATATACCTAAATTGTTTTTTTTTTTAAATTTCAGATAACAAAGTAATTTTTATTCTTCATATATCAGTTATGTCGTTCATTCTTCTTATATGAACTCTACCAGAATTTTTTTTTAAATACAGTTGAAAAACGATATATATTTTTTTTAAATACATATAATAGTTTTGTGAAATCTCTAGCTTTTCAGTATGGGGTACTTTGTAAATTCGGCACTGATAGAAAGATAATCCGGGGAGGGGGGCTTAAAGACAAACGATAGACCATAACCACGTAAACTATATCACTAGATATCATTACTTTTAGTATATAATCAAAATAAATGATCCGATTAATGTTTATTGATTTAAGACAGATATATTTCAAATCTGCAAACAGCAGTAACTCTCTGGCTTTTTTTCGTTCAGATACACTGAATTTACGATTCATCTAGTTAATCCCCGGTAAACTGGATTGTCCCCCTTGACGTATTATCCAATGCTGCTCTTATCCCAGCATCGATAGAATACTCTGTATAGGAAAAAGGGTGATGACCCTTCAACGAAGGAAAAACTCCCCTGAGATTGAGATCAATAGTGTAATGTGTGTCAGTTTGTTGGCTATTTCTGTATCTAATCCGGCATATCGACTTTGCTAATCTGCCCCAGAGTGCCAACAAATTCTTTAGAACATCCAGAAACGCCAAGATTAAAAGAAAAGTTCAAAATGGAGTTGTGGATGCTGCTTTCTTTATTCTTTTATGTAAAAGTTTCATGGAGTTACTCCAGAATGCAAAGGTAGGAAATCGCAGCTAGTAACCTTTACTTGTTTGGTTTATAGAGAGCGTTGCAAATTTAGCTTTTTTATTTGTTTTGCAAAGGGAAATAACTGAGAGCCAGTCACTGAGGTATTATTCCTTTATTTAAGCTGGACGCCAGCAGAACTTTTTTAGCTTGACTAATCCTACCAGTAAAACTAATCAACTTCATTCTTATAATAATAACATTTCTTATCTGCTCGATTCCATCTCTTCACATAAGTCTTTTAAGGTCTCTACAGCTGGTGCTTGTAGAATCGTTTACATGGAGAATTGATTTGATAAATATCCATGCTAGTGTTGTAACTCGAGCGAGTAAAGTCAATCAGAGAATGATAAATGGGACATTACACTAACCAGTAGCTGACAAGAACACTTGAAGTGGACCCATTTGCCTTCTCCACCAAGTAATTACGGCAAAACGAAAGCTATGCGACAAGCCTACATAAGAAATGGAATATTTCTTTGGCTTCTTTTATCTTGAAATAAAAAAATTAGCATGATTACGACTTTATCTTTCAGTAAATCAAACAAACAGGAACCCCAAAAGATGTATTCGCTTGGTCATGTTTATTAGTATGTTGTTTATGGGGTCTTAGTTCCAATAAATTACTTGTAGCTTTAGCTAGTCTGCATATTCAAAATTGGCCTTTCGATATTTATGTTATATCTTATGTTGGTGGAACCAAATTTATTACCCACAGTAAAGCAAAGCAACAAAACATTCCACGACATGCTTTTGATTTGAAATTGCGTTATAACACAAAAATACCGCAAAAAATATTTCATCTCGTACTAAAATGAACTCGATCTAGGCGTTTTATTTCGCCCTTGATATTGTGCTAATGTAATCTTTTCTCGTAGGAGGGACATTGCAATATCTGCTTGACTGTGTGCTCAAAGACATTTTTTTCCCCTTTCTTAAAAGAAAATACTTCAAATTTAAACAAAATATTCTAATATATTGTCATTAACTAAAGATTTAGAAACATTAATTTTGTCAGAAAGAACAACCATTTAACATTTTCTGAACCATCCTCACAACGTCAGGGTGCTGAGTCAACACGTGTTGACTCAGGACCCCTGACGTTGTGGGGATGTTTTTGAAGAGATATGGTTATTTTCTGTCTCAGTCCAGAGCGTATTATAAAACTATAACTAAACTTTGAAAACAGATGGGATAAGCTAGTGTTGTTTTGAAATTCATTCGTTACTTAACTATACACTTTTCATCGTGAATACGTATACAATAAGATTTTTGGATTGCTTGATTGGACACTCTATAAAAGTCTACAAATTCATAACTATGTGGTAAAAATGCATACATAAAAAGAAAGATTATCATAATTTTAGGTGTCACACATGATTTGTAATTCTACTAGATAAGTTTTAATTTTCAGTACTCAAAAAGGTTCGATTTTCCAGTTAAAATTAATATTTATCTGGCTGGCACCCATCACTTGGATACTTCTTTCAAACTATGAAGCGTTCGAGTTTTGAAGAAACTACTCGTCATTACATGTAATAGAAATATGGCAAATCTAATAAAACAACTGACCTATAGGGAAAACAGCGCATACTGATTTTAAAAAATCAACCACCCTCACCCCCTCACAATTAGCTACTTTCATATTGCAGACATAAGTTTATTGTTTTCGGTGCTAATATCGCAAAAAAAAAAAAATAAATAAAAAAGTAAAAAAAATAAAAACAAAACAAAACAAGATGTGTTTGTGAAACACTGATGCCCCGTATGGCAACTTATAGCGAAGGTTAAACTTTCTCAAATGCAAATCAAATATGCTGGTTCCCAAAGTAAGGTCTTGTACCGAGGAATATACCTGTGAAATGTATAAGCCCTATAGCAGCAACCATTGAAAAAATATGGAAAAGTTAAAGTTTTTTCAAAATTAGGTCTTACATCAAGGTCAAGGTCAAATGGTCAAAATTAATGGAGCCCAAAGAAAGGCCTTCTCACAAGAAATACACATATGAAATACGAAAGCCCTAACATTAACCGTTTAAAAGATATGGCCAAGGTTAAAGTTTTTCAAAAATAGGTCAAACTCCAAGGTCAAGGTCAATGGGCTATAACTGGTGGTATCTAAAGGAAGGCCTTGTCACAAGGATTACACAGAATGTGAAGAATGAAAGTCAAAGCACCAACTGTTCAAAAGTTATGGCCAAGGTTAAAGTTTTCCAAAAGTAGGTCAAACTCCAAGGTCAAAGGGTCAAAATTGTTGGTATTTAAAGGAAGGTCTTGTCACAAGAATTACATATGTTAAGAATGAAAGCCCTAGCACTAACCGTTCAAAAGATATTGCCAATGTTAAAGTTTTTCAAAAGTAGGTCAAACTCGTAGGTCAAAGGGTCAAAGTTGTTGGTATCCATAGAAAGGTCTTGTCACACGGATTACACTTGTGAAGAGTGAAAGCCCTAGCATTAACCGTTTAAAAGTTATAGCCAATGTTAAAGTTTTTCAAAAGTAGGTCAAACTCCAAGGTCAAGGTCAAAGGGTCAAAATTGTTGGAATCCAAACGAAGGACTTGTCACAAGGATTACACAGGTGAAGTATGAAAGCCCTTGCACCAACTGTTCAAAAGTTATGGCCAAGGTTAAAGTTGGGTAAAATTTTATAAAACTGGGTCAAACTCCAAGATCAAGGTCAAAAGGTCAAATATGATGGTACCCAAAGAAAGGTCCTGTCACAAGGAATACACATGTAAAATATGAAAGCCATAGCTCCAACCAATCAAAAGTTATAAGCAATGTTAAAGTTTTTGCAACAAACAGACAGACAGACAGACAGATGGACGGACAGGGCAAAAACTATATACCCCCGAATTTTCGATACGGGGGCATAACAAAGCAAGAAATTTAGAGCGTTCCGGCCCTATGTATTCGTGGAACCATGTTACAAAGTCCAATATACATGTATTTCACAGTATGTGTTCACAGCATCATGTTGTATAATTTATGATTTTTTTAAGCATTGCAATAAATTTTTGTTTTAATATAAATTAATTTACTGGGCAGGTGTAGTTCTGTATAAACCTCTGGAAAAACAATATCTTAAACGACAGTGGAACAGTAAATATATTTATGGAAAAATCGTGTGGACTGTATGAGAACCAATATTGTCCAAAAAATGGTTGTTTTCCAGATAACATTTACTAGACCAGTGTCTGCAGGCATTGGTTTGGGACCTCTCATCAGACCCACTTATGTAAATATGACAGAAATAGCAATAAACTACAATTATGATAATAGAATAGGGAGTACTTAACGTACATGTGTGTCTCGTTAAAGCCACTTTCAATTTTAGGGAATATCAAAACGTTGTTCATTCTTTGGTACGCAAATGCATCTGTCGATGGCTCGTATATTAGCACGTTTAGGGTCATTGGAGAAGCTAAAAAGGTACGAGTCTGGAAGTTTCGTGGAAACAACAGCTAGGGGATGATTCTCTGTCACATCCGGTTAGATGCTTAACAGTAATGTCGTCAAACGCAGGCATGACGTGCATGCGGTCAGAGTAAACTGAAACATATTGGCTTCCAAGTCGTGAGACATAGTACCCTAAAAAGACTAAAATTACCGGATTTGTGTCAATCAAATTAATAAAACACGACAAATAAGTTTTGGAAACACATAAATCGTCTTTTTTATATAGTAAATTCACGATAAACATATAGACAACTTGTGCGTAGAATGAAAATATGAAAATAAACAGGCTATTTTTTGTATTTTGTTTATATCCCTTTGAATGACATTTGAATTTGTTTATCACAGCTCTGTTCTAAAATATTGTTATATATATCGACTTTTATACTCCTGAAATATTCTACAGAGATTTTATCAGAAAGGTTATGCACTTCTTGGTGCCAGAGCATAAATATTCGTTTTTCGAGACAACTGATATAAATCTTCGTTTCTTAGAATAAAAAAATTGAATATGAGTTAACTTCACACAGTCATGTAGATTTATCCAATGCTTGATAAAATAAACAGGTCAGTAGAATCGGTGGGTTTACCTTCATCACTACATAGAGTCATTTAGTGACATTTGAACTAGAATTTCTTTGTCTCTTTCTTCGGCTGTCATTACACCAGAAGGCTGGCTATACGTCGATTACAGAAAGAACAAGAGGCCCAAGGGCCACATAGCTCACCTGAGCACTGTGGCTAGGAAAAAAGGAAAAATCAGTTTAGTATTGAAAAGCTTAAATGCATAAGTGGTCCCAGCCTACCCCTAAAAAGGGAGTGGGGGGGGGGTCATGATTTGAACAAACTTGAATCTACAATATATGAGGACGCCTCCGTATAAATATGACAAACCGTGGCTCTGCTGTTCTTGAGATTTTTAAAGATTTTTCCTATATATTCCTATGTAAAACTTTGATCGTCCAATGTGGCCCCACCCAACCCCCGGGGGTCATGATTTGAACAAACTTGAATCTACACCACCTGAGGATGCTTCCAAATAAATATGACCAATCATAGCTTTGCTGTTCTTGAGAAGAAGATTTTTGAAGATTTTTCCTATATATTCCTATGTAAAACTTTGATCGTCCATTGTGGACCCACCCTATCCTCAGGGGTCATGATTTGAACAAACTTGAATCTACACCACCTGAGGATGCTTCCATATAAATATGACCAATGATAGCTTTGCTGTTTTTGAGAAGAAGATTTTTGAAGATTTTTCCTATATATTCCTATGTAAAACTTTGATCGTCCAATGTGGCCCCACCCAACCCCAGGGGGTCATGATTTGAACAAACTTGAATCTACACCACCTGAGGATGCTTCCATATAAATATGACCAATCATAGCTTTGCTGTTCTTGAGAAGAAGATTTTTGAAGATTTTTCCTATATATTCCAGACCTATGTAAAACTTTGATCGTCCAATGTGGCCCCACCCTACCCCCGGGGGTCATGATTTGTACAAACTTGAATCTACACCACCTGTGGATGCTTCCAAATAAATATGACCAATCATAGCTTTGCTGTTCTTGAGAAGAAGATTTTTGAAGATTTTTCCTATATATTCCTATGTAAAACTTTGATCGTCCATTGTGGCCCAACCCTATCCCCGGGGGTCATGATTTGAACAAACTTGAATCTACACTACCTGACAATAATTCCACATGAGTTTCATCTTTCCTGGCCCACTGATTCTTGAGAAGAAGATTTTTCAATAATGCCATTAATTTTTTGCTATTTCGTAATTATCTCCCCTTGGAGGAGGGCGTGGCCCTTCATTTGAACAAACTTGAAACCCCTTCACCCAAGGATACTTTGTGCCAAGTTTGATTGAAATTGGCCCAGTAGTTCTGGAGAAGAAGATGAAAATGTGAAAAGTTTACGACAACAACGACGCCGACGACACCGCCGACGACGACAGACAACGGACAAATTTTGAACAGAAAAGCTCACTTGAGCCTTCGGCTCAGGTGAGCTAAAAAGTGGATGTCAGAATGGGGAAAGGCGATGGAAAAATAATTCAAGGAGGTTGGGAGGTCGGAAAATTAACCAACAGAATTGCCTTTAAAATGAAATATGATTCTTCTGGCCATAAACTGTTATTTTAAGTAAAGAAAAAATATACGTTCCAACTATAGTATTTACTTCTTATGCACTTTCCCATATCGTTATACAGTGCTCTTCTTTTTGGAGATTTAAATAGTCTAAAAATGACCATGACCACCCAACCCTCTTAATCATAATTTCTGTGAAGGATACATTCATATAAATGTATGAAGTTTGAGACTGGTAAGGATATAATTACTGTGAGGTAAAAACGAAAATATAAGTAATTACTAGTATCATTATCTTTCTGGGGGGTGGAGGTGGAGTGTCGGAGGACGATAACTGACAAGGGAGTACATAATAATTCTTGTGCCGCTTATATAAATATTATTGTGTACATTGTATTATTCCCATACATGAATTATTACTTTATACCTACTTATCTACACGTATTTATCAGACACCCCTACGATGAAATGTGAACAATGTACCATTCTAAATGACGCAGTTTTTACATTATGTCTTTGTATAAAATGCATATTTTGTTTTGAAAATATGGAATCTTTTTCATTTCAGAACAGATTTATTGATGCGTATAGTTAGTGAAAAGGATTTAGAGAATCCGCCAAACTATGATAAGTTTGACTCTGGTAAGTAACGTTATTCTGCAAAACGCCTTTTGGCTCTTTTTTCAAATGACATCAATGTTCCAATTAGAAGAGATATATTTGATATTTTTCTATTTCCAAAATTAATAAAATTTTATAACAGACTTTATCATCAAATATTTCTGCATAGAATACTAACAAAATATTCCAGTTATAAATATCCCTTATATTTCGGTTTCTTCAAATCAAATTTAGATTCTTGCATCGAAGTCATTTTTATCACTCCATGATAAATTGACCCTCATTGTTTTGCAGATAAAATTACAGTCATCGAGGCTGACTTGAACGTAAACAGTTTCGATTCCATCAATGAAGCTAACATGGTAAACGAGTGTTATAAACATTCGATCATTCGTGTAAATTTGGCTTCACTGTAATTAACTTTAAACACTTTATAATACCTCTTTACAGGATTTTAGAATTTCTGTAATGTTACACTTACGCTGGATTAACACCCTAATAACGAAAAAGTTTTCGTCGGTGAAAAGCACGCTGGAGTACGTAGAACTAGACGCTACTAAGATGGGACGCCTCTGGGTCCCGGACTTGTATTTCCCAAATGAAAAACAGTCCAACTTCTTCAACGTAATGACGGATAATAAGATGATGAGATTGCACCGCAATGGGACGATTGACTACACCACTAGGTTAATTTAATGCAATCGCGATTGTTATTCGATAAGATTTTTGTGTGTGTGTGTATTCCATCATAATACAAATGTTTTTCTTTAGGCAATAAAAGAGCTTTAGTAAATGTAATTCAAAATCATTTTTATTTGGCTCCGAATGATTATTGCTAATATTCTATTACAGAATTGCCTTAACACTGTCTTGTCCTATGAATTTGGAAAGGTTCCCATTTGACAAACAAACGTGTTCAATTAAAATAGAAAGTTGTAAGTGCAAAACATTTCATAATTATTCAATTTAATGAAAGATAGTCCAGACTTATAACGTTCATCTTCGATTTAAGCACAGTTAAAAATAATAAAACACAGTTAACAGTTAATACTTACTTTTATCTATAGTTGGCTATACCACCAGCAGTATACAGCTGAGGTGGTCCAATATTTCTGAAAATGCCGTCGCTCTGAATCAGACCAGCCTCCCTCAGTTTGAGGTCACCGGAAGGAATTACTCATTTCGGGAAAGAACCCACAGATTTAGAGGTACAATAATAAGTGCTAATAATGTTACAATAAAGGGGTAAACAGATTCACAGCACTGCTTCAGTCATTGGATTTTAACTGAAACACATTATTATTTAAACATGTATCTTTATTATACCGTATTATTTTGTAGGAAATTTCAGTTATCTTCAAGCTGACTTTCATTTGGAACGCAATATTGGTTATTACATGATACAAATGTACATTCCGAGTCTCCTGATTGTTTTATTGTCATGGGTGTCGTTCTGGCTTAATGTCAACTCAGTCCCAGCCCGAATTTCCTTGGGTGTACTCTCAGTTCTCACAATAACTACCCAGAGTTCTGCAGTGAATGCGTCACTTCCTCGTGTTTCTTACATCAAAGCAATTGACATCTGGATGACAACATGTCTTGTTTTTGTATTTGCGGCGCTGATTGAGTTCTCGGTGGCTAATGTACTGAGTAGAAATAACAAGTCAGAAAAAGAATTTCTTCAGAGTATATTTCGAATGACAAAAATTGGCCGAATAGAGAAAGAGAAAAATGGTAATGATGTCACAAAAGGTCTGCGTCATCGTCGACAGAGTCAGTTAGACGGAGAAAAGAAAGATGTAAGTGCATGTATGGATTCTTACAAAAAGGATACAGAAAAGTCAATTCTTAACAAAGCTTGAATATAGTACTAGTATTAAGTATTAATCTATGAATCAATATGAAAATAGCTAGAATTTTTGCTGTACATTAAAATGAAATGTACATGTATTAAATAATAATGATGCTTGCATTTTCTATCATTCAGCTTATTGTGAATGAGTTTGGTAATGTCAACTTAAAGACGGAAGCCAAAGAGAAAACAGAAAAACTCCAGGAAAACAAGGGACTAGCCTACGCATCCTATCTAGATGTGATCTGCAGAGTCCTATTTCCTACAATATTTGCCATTTTTAACATTATATATTGGGTTTATTTTTGGAAACTAACCGCGTAAACTACTAATCAATGTTTATTGATTAATCAACAATGATGTGTAGTTAACTAAATACATGTAGATTAACTTCATAATTTTGTTATACAGACATACATTATGAAGAATTTGTCTTTTGAGCGTCCATATGTGTTTTGTAGATGTTTTTGGTATTTTGTTTTTAATGTGTAATTCGATTGAGATGTTATAGTAAATTTCTTTGTTTGTTGTAAGTACATATACATTTTATTGGAGATAAAGTACTTCCTATTTTTCTTCCAGTATGTAAGGACCACCATTATTATCATCATCATCCGTCCTCAACATTAAGAGTACAGTCTTTCCACATTTGTTGATAAGTACTATCATTCAGACCCCTAGATGTACCATGTTTACTGCTATGAATATTCCTAGATCTAATATCTACATGGAATAATTATAGCCTTTACACAATTGAAACATTTACATGAGATCATTTTGATAACCTGTATGTAGATTTACTATGTAGTATACTTATGATTCAAAGTTCTTGTTTTATGATCAAATACATATTCATAACTCAGATATGTACATGAGCATGTTCGAGATAATTAAATGAGATATTATTTTAGATTATTCATTTATTATATTTTTTTTTACTTGTGATATGCGTATGTCATATATTTGTGGTCATTTTCTACACGTTTTTGGTTTCATCACTAACGTTTATTTTTGCTGTCGATTGTATAAGTACTAACAATTTATTTATTTTTGTGAAATAAAGTTTGTGTTTTACATTTTTGCCGTTTGGTTACAAAATAAAGGGGAAAAAATCATTGTCCATTCTTATATGATTATCCTATAAAAATTCAAGAAGTTTTAATTGCCTTTTAAACTTGAACTATAGATAGCGGATGGAATCAACTGATGGATATTTATCAACAAAAGTAGCTGCAATCAATTCAAAGACAGGTGAAATGAAATTATGTAATTAAAAATATATAACATCAGTCCGCTTTGGAGGAACTGGTTGAATTTTAATAAGCAACGCAACAACCTTGACACAAAATTAAGAAACAATGGGGCTATATATTGTAAAGTTATGCTAAAGTATATATTCGGGATATCGATATCATTACCCCAATTTAACGATTTTTTTGTTGTCGTGAAGTATGTCAACTGTCGTCAATTTTTTTTTAAAGTTTACTTTTTTCCATTCAATTTAAACCGGTATTTGCCGATCACGAAATATGTTAATTTTTTTTCTCCAGGATGTATTTTAAAAAAAAAAAATATTGAAAGTTAATTAGCTCAATTAACATGAAATAAAAATGAGCTGCTTATCCGTTTGACTTCATATAATGTATACATTCAATTTTCTTAAAATATAATTATATTTTTTTTTTGGGGGGGGGGGGGCTCTTTGATAGGTTGGAATCTCTATTTTCTTTTTCTTTTCTTTTTTTCCTTTTTTTTTTTTGAATGTCGATTATAATATAATTTGAAGAAAAAAAAACATTAAGCCCTCTACTTCATTCTACTTATGGAAAATGAACTATCGAAGGGAAGTGAACGAAGTTCTCTAACTCTAGAAAATCAATAATCAAATTTTGAGTTCACACTACATGTATTTTGAAGTGTGCGGGAAAAAATATATATAGTTATTTGACTCCTCGTGCACGTCATCACTTTTGGACGAAATTCTTATCTTTTACAGCAAAAAGAAAACATTTTTAGTTAAGTAGAAAAAGTTGCAATTTTTTATTAAGAAAAACATAGATTTTTCAAATTGTTAACTTTTTTCTCAAATTAAACAAATAAAGTTCTTGTATATCAATTTTTATGAGATTTTTTATTTAATTCTGTTTATCATTTTGCAAAACAAAATCAATTCTGCTTTATCATTTGAGTTCATAGTTATACTTTCATGCAAGTAAATAATGAATATCACAGGGGATCCTTATCCCTCTGAACCGTGTGTGATTATTTCTTTAATTTTATATTTGTAGAATTAATTTTAAAAAAAAATGTCCGTCTTTATTTTACATTGCAATAAGGGGTATAAAAATGTCCCTTGTGATCACTTCATTATTTTATTTGGCTCCATATTTCCATTCCATTGAAAACCAGTACAACGTAAAAAGAGGAGTAAATCTAACTTAATCCTCACCGACCATAAACTGGTCAAGATATCAGGTCAAGATGATGAGGGCGCCCTCTGGTTCATTTAATTAAAGAACACAATATTAATGGGGGATTATGTGGATTTTCCCAGTCATAAATCAAAGGTGTGCAGTCCCCCAGGTAATGAATCATTAATCCTGAGAAAATTGCAACTCAACACACCAAAATATTGCTTCAAAAAGCAAAACGCGTGTGACTAAGTTTTGCACGCGCCACAGGGCATAATTTGACGCCTCGCGCGTGTAGAACTTCTCGAATTTTGCACAATTGTAAAAGTGAATTAAATATGCAATTATGTTTCTTAATTTTCTAAAATGACAAGCCAGTTAATTGGTCAACGTGTTAAACTAGTATATAAATATTTTCTCTGCTAAGAATTCTTCAGTATCTACCCTTCACTGATAGAAAAAAGTATACATTTTTATAGGCTGTGTTTACTTTGGAATTATTCACAATACCTGACATGTGTGTACATTAGTACGTTAGTCATCTGAATGATCTATATTCAAGGTGAGTTTCTTTGAAGTATAACTGAGTAAAAGCCATAAATATGTAGTACTGTCAATGCTTTATTTATAGAAGGACTTGTCGTAAAACACCTCAAAACATTTTTTGTCACTAATGGCCATTTAAGTACGTAACATTATGGCCATAAAATTCCATTTGTTTGATTCAAAAACATATAATGGCTCGTGGACGTAATATAAAAATATCAAAAACATGTAAAAATATTTTCACAATCTGTCGGTGCCGATTTATTAGTAGTGAGAATTTTATCATTTTAGATAACTTTGTGTAAGGGTTTCATTGTGACTCAAGCCGCACATGTAAGAAAGGTTATTTTAACGGGTAGATAAAACAGATTTATTCATTTAATATCTCGGATTTCATGGATTTGGATATATACTTCTCGGTAAGATATCTAATTATTTTTTATCGGCATTTCATACATAATGAAGTGTTCTTTATAGACTATAAGATGCGAATGACATATTTATTTTTTATTTATTTATTATATATTGATTAATTGGTGTATTTATTTATTTATTTTGTGGGATAGATTATTAAATAATTTACATAAAATATTAACTGTTAACTTTAAAAAATATATTCTGGTTTTATAAAATCTCAAGTCTGTCTTCTCCATACCTAATCGAGAAATATTTTTAAACGATCTCCATTGTATTTTCAGTATATATATACTTTAAGTAGCTGTATTCTTTATTATTATTTTCATGTCTGTTCCTGACCATCAATTAACATTTCACGAATAATCCTCAATAATTCCACTTCTGTTGGAAATTACAAAGGTCAACAATACGTTTTTCTCTCTACCTGTTAATTTCGACGCCTCATTCACTTTAAAAAAAAAAATAAAAAATCACGGCATAACGCCCGAGTACAAATAAACATCAGATTTTCACACATTCTTTTACATAATTGTTTACGACACCATGCACCCGACACAATAGAAAAGTTTAAGTGAATTAAGCCTTAAGGCTTTGTTAAGTAATTAAACAAATTTGTGTGATAGTGTAAAGTATATTTGATCATTGTTTGTAGTCTTTTTCACCGAAGGCGTTAAACCGATTCTCATGAGAAAAGGAAAAAATACTATATATGTTCTTTAAACGTAGATCAGATTGTATCAAATTGGTAAATATCCGAGGGGAAATGCGGATCTAACATGATAGTTCACCACGCAACACCTGTCTAAAAATTTTAAAATTTTAAGCAATTCTTTCTACATCCATTTCAGAAACTGCTGCTATTTTGAAAATGTTGAGTTTTGCTTTCCTGATATCCTGCGCGTGCATAGTGCACGGATCTAAAACTACACTCCATGTTGTCGAGGAGTCGGATATAAACACGTTGATCGGTCATACTGGCGATGGAATCCTACAGACCTTACCAGAGGGGGCTCAATCAGATCTAGTGTACAGTATGATCGGGTCTGGGGAACATGCCAACCTAGTGAAATTGAACAAGCAGAACGGATATCTCTACACAGCGGAACTTATTGACCGGGAATCAACTTGTGGAAACCGTGAAACATGCTCCATCAATCTGAAAGTTGCTCTATACTCACCAAAAGCAAGCCACTTTGAGATCGTAGATGTGGAAATTCAGATTGATGACGTTAACGACCATGCACCGAGATTTCTAGAGAATCGGATTAACATCAACGTTCCGGAATCTACCCCTACTGGAACCATTATCACCACAGTGACAGCCACAGACCGAGACTCAACAGAAAAATACCGTAATGTAACATATAAAGCTTCAAATGCAGATGTGTTTGGTCTTCAAGTAACAAAGAACAAAGAAGGTATACGAATGGCCTCTCTTATTCTTCTGAAAGATCTGAACCGTGAATCTAGAGACTCTTACAATGTAGCTATCATAGCTTCTGATGGGGGAAAAACATCGGATGCCAGCAAAATTGATATTGATATCACAGTTACGGACACCAATGATAATAGCCCTCGGTTTGAACATTCTAGCTACAACGTCTCAGTCCAGGAGAACGTTACGATAGGAACGGTTGTCCTAACAGTACGAGCAACAGATCCCGACCTCAGAGACAATGGACGTGTTTCCTACAGATTGTCAGGAGAAACGTCATTCTTCGGATTGTTTTTCATGATCGACGAATCGTCAGGTGATATATCCGTCAAAGAAGACTTAACTCGAATAAGTGGAGAGACATTTCAACTGGAAGTTATAAGTGAAGACCACGGAAAACAGCCGCTTGCATCCCGAGTTAACCTTACCGTTTCTGTGAAGGACGTTGTCAACAACGCTCCTGTGATTGATGTGAATATTCTGTCCCGAGGAGGCGGACAGACGAATGATAATCTCACCGCTCTTGTGCCGGAGTCCCAGGAAACAGGTAATGTCGTAGCGTTCATCACCGTCACCGACAGAGATATAGGCATGAACGGGAATGTCTCCTGCTCAATTTCCAGTGCAGTCTTTGAACTTCAGAACGTCCCGTCTTCCGGATATATAATCGTGTCTAAAATACCACTGGACAGGGAGATTAATGAACGATATGATATCACAGTAATGTGTGCAGATGCTGGAATTCCTCCATTGTCCTCTACTGTTAGCATTGCAGTTCTAGTCCAAGACATGAATGATAATCCTCCAGTGTTTAGCAAGAAGTCTTACTTCACATCAATCATCGAAAACAATGCACCCGGAATACATCTAGTAACTGTGTCTGCTACTGATGAAGACTTAGGCGAAAATGCGCAAATAGAATACTTCATTCAGGGTAAACGCAAAGGACTTGCAATCGATTCTAAATCTGGTGTCCTGAGAGCTAGAACAAGCTTTGACCGCGAAAAGACCAGTGAGTATGAAGTGACAGTCGTCGCAGTGGATTCTGGTTGGCCTTCACTCACCGCTACAACAACGGTGTTCATATCTATTCTTGACGCTAATGACAATGCACCATCGTTTAAGGTATCCCATTTCCAGTTTTTCGTCCTTGAAAATATGCCAGCTGGAATGAAGGTCGGACAGTTGAGTGCAACAGACAAAGATGTTGGTGTCAATGGTAACTTGCTGTTTTCAGTAATAGAGGGATACAAAAATACGATCCCCTTTATCGTATTTCAAGACGGCATCATAAAAACCAGTGAAACACTGGATAGAGAAGAGAAAGACAGATACTCTTTCCAAGTTAAAGTGTATGATTTGGGATCTCCATCATTTGTCTCAACAGCAGACGTCACAGTTCGCTTAGCAGACAACAACGATAATGCACCGGTTATCACCTACCCTGCCAAAGAAAACGAAACTGTTATTGTGTTTTCTACGAACACAGTTGGATCCACAGTCGCTGTCATTCAAGCAAAAGATGCGGACGAATCGGGACCAAATAGTGACTTAGAATTCAGCATAATATCAGGAAACGACGAAGGAGTTTTTGCTGTGGATAATACATTTGGTACATTAAGGATAAACAAGGAAAGAAAGCTAGAAGAAGATGAGAGCTATTTGCTTCACATTCGAGTTAGTGACAAAGGATATAACAAGAAAAGTGTAGATACAAAGTTGAAAATCATTTTGAAATATGTGAATGGACTGGAACAATCAGGCACAGGGCCAAGGAACGCCATGGTGACTACTTCTGTCGTAGCAATCACGGTGGTAGCGGCTGTTGTCATAACAACCATCTTGTGTATCTTCAGGAGAAACGCACAGAAAAAGAAGAAAGAAAAACAAAATCGAGCACAATCTTACAAGCAGTCCCAGCAAGTGATTCCAATTGACGCCATCGTCTACAAACCTACCACTACGAAACAGGTCACTTTCACAGAAAAAAAGGTCCCAGAAACTGTTAATATGACGTCATCAACAACAGATCACGAGGATCTTGACAATATGGAACTTTATAACTCAACGGGGACATCTATGTTCACTAACTCTCTAATAGAATGCAGGGTAAGGGAATATATATTTTAAAAAATGTTAGAAAAATCACTAATTTTACAATTGCATGCATCGTTTGAATATAAAGGGACAGTTTTGTCATTTACTTGCGTTTTTCTTCTACAGAAAATGATGACAGATGAAGATAGCGATGACTCTGACTGCAGAACCAACTGTGACAGTGGAAAAGGTGGCAGCTATCTGGATATTTATAAACTTAGTAAGTCAACCAGAGTTATTTCTTGTAGAATTAAGAATTATGTATAATTTACATCAACGCACCTTAGTAATTTTTTAGGTAATCTGTAACATGATTTTTTTTAATTTCAGACAGAATGAGAAATCTAGGATATTTTGGACCAAAACGGCCACCACTGGAGAAAATGGACGTTATGGATATCATCTGAAGAACTCAGGTGAACAAAAGTTTAACCTTTTGGGAAAAAAATAAAGATGTCGCGCACCCAGCTGCGGAGTAATTCAGATGGGTCCGAAATTGGTCTTTCCCCGTGAGCGGAAGGTTCCTGGACAGAAGGCAGTGTTAGCCGCGGAAATACGGACAATAAATAATTCTGGGGTTTAGTGCTTTTACCACAGAATGGAAGCTTATATACGTAATAGGCTTTATCTGTAACTTGTAGTGCTACTAAAAAATCATGCGAATTGATAAGAATGTATTATAGTTGATTAATATATTTCAGATTTTGCATGCACACTAACTTGATGAAAATTAATTATTTAAATCATCAATAAATGTTTATACAAAAAGTAGTTGTTCGTTGCTGATTTTGGGTCTTAAAATACTTTTTAAGTTGTAAGTTTAGCTGAAGGGGGAAACTCCTTGAACAGCGAAAACTGGGACTGTTTAATTTTACTTAAGTCCTCAGGTATGTTAGTACATTGAATTTAACAACTGAGCCAGTTGATAAAATAAACAACATAAATATTATATATATAGTGTATCGCAACAGTATTGGTCTGAAAATATCGGAGTTATCCTTCTTTGAATCGTGACATGAACCTTTATTGAATGCCAAATTAACATATATTAAAATATTTGTACCTGTCTTCAAAAATAACTGTGATTATTTCCAAATGAATTGAAGATAGGTTTAATTCTATTATACCTATATTTAATTCATTTGGAGATAGGTACAATTGATTTAAAGATATAGGCCGCTGGAAGTGATTTCACTTTGCGGGGGCACAATCATACATTTACAGCTTGGGGGGGGGGGCACTATCAATTACCAAAAATTCCTTGACAAGCCACAAAAAAGGTCATCAGACGTTATTATTGAGGGGTGCAAGCATATAGTATTTGTACGAAAGCCCATTGAGCTCATTTTCGTAGGTAACAAAAATATATTTTTCGCGTCATAACGCGTAACTTTCGCGTCATAACGCGTAACTTTCGCGAATAAACGCGAAACTTTCGCGAATAAACGCGAAACTTTCGCGAATAAACGCGTAACTTTCGCGTTATAACGCGAAAGTTTCGCATTTATTCGCGAAAGTTACGCGTTTATTCGCGAAAGTTACGCGTTATGACGCGAAAAATATATTTTTGTTACCTACGAAAATGAGCTCAATGGGCTTTCGTACAAATACCATGAATTAAAGATAGGTATAATTGATTTTAAAATAGGTACGGTGCAGTTGAATTGAACCTAGGTATAATTGATTTGTACCTATATTTAGAACCTTTGTGGACATGTATTAATTGTACCTATCTTTAAATAAATTGTACCTATCTTCAATTGAATTAATTAAAAATAGGTTTAATTGTATTGAACTGTATAATTGAATTGAACCTATCTGTGATAGAGTTAAAGAAAGTTTTATTCATTTGAACATATGTTCAGTTATTTAAAGCTATGTGTAATTATTTATACCTATCTTAAATTCATTTAGACCTATCTTAAAATCAGTTGTACCTATCTTCAATTTATTTGAAGATAGGTTCAATTATTTAAAGATAAGTACAATATTTTAATACACGTATTAGTTAATTTGGCGTTCCATATATATTTTCTGTTTACGGTCGAAGGTGTCTCGGAAGAATGTCCACAAGTCTTGACGACAAAAAGATAATTTATTTAACCACCACCTTGTCGACATTTGTTTATGTACATGGTCCTCACCCCTGATATCACACCTGCATCACCTGTGGTTCTTGTCAGAGCGACAGGAGATGTGTAAATTTGTAGTGCTCCTCTGACTCCCTTCAATGTATCGTCTTCATGAATCTTGTCTTACTTATTGTAAGCTATTAATTTCATTAGTTGATAAATAACATAATCTGCATTAATCATGAGCCGATGGTTTGAAATAGTCGACAGTTCAAAATGTAAGGCCTCGGGATAAAAGGAAATTCTTTCTTTTTTGTATTAGTAACATTGCGCACAATTTACTCATTACATTTTATGCACGACACATTCATGAAAGATGATTTTTACACTTGATTATTTTCTCAAAGCATCACTGACATCTCATGTGAAAAAGAAGGGGGAAATGTTTTATTCAATTCAATTTATTGACATGGCTTCCCCTAATATTGACGATATATTTATAGTATCTATACTTATAAATTATTAAATTTTGCAAATAAACTCCGGAACGGGTGCACCAGAGTTCTTACTTACTCCTTTAAGGTATCCGACCCATAATAGCCTTAGATTCAATGAATCTGAATGCATAAAAGATATATAATGCCTGAATACTCAGTAAAGACATAATCTTCAGGTTTTATTATTTATATATGAGAGTGGAATGTGTCCTAATTTTTTTTACCTTGTCCTGTCCTTGAAGAGTTATCCCCCTTAGCTTTAATCAATAAAAATCAATTCTAAAAATGTATTTGGTAAAAAATTAGTTTTTAATCGTTTTTTCTATTCCTAATGATTATATACATCTTTCCACTACAGCATTTGTTTAGTATATAAATTTTTATCTTCAACAAATTGCTTGTCACCATAGACTTCAATGCAATCTTCATTAATTAAATACTGCTTAAGTAATTTTATTTTTGAAAATTTTTCTTTGTAAATCCCTTTCTACTCTAAATTGCTTTGAATTAATATCAGAGTATTTAATACATGATGGATATTTAATGTTAGAAAATTAGGTCCTTATATGGGTCGGATACCTTAAGAATACACTAGATACAAGATGATGTCCGTAAACTATATTTAGATTTCACTCGCATAAAGAGTATCGTACATTAGATTAAAAGTCTACTTTCATTTTCCATAAGCAGCCATGAAATAGCTAAAACGTGAGTACGATGGCGATTGCGGTTGGAGGATCTAAGTTACTGGCAATTTTTAATGAAACTGACAACAAGCAATCGTTTATTTATTTCATAAAACGTCATCACTGAATTATTCAATCAAACCTTGATCAGCAAGAAAGCGTGATTAACAGGCATTCTGGAAAGTATGTGAACTATTCAAGCATTCTCTAAAATCATCAACATATATAAACAGTGTAGGACTTGAAGTATTTGCCTGTTTTACCCCTCTATTTGCCATGAGTGTTCTTATTTCATGGTCATTTTTGACAAAAGTTTTTTAAGAGACCTTCTACAGGATCCCTTTATCGCCACTCCCCTTTCAGAAGTCCATAATGATTACAGCTTATTGTATACCTGTGCTTAGGAAAGTTTTGCATTAGTTTAGTTTTTCCCCAAAGTTGGGAGATATTTTTCTGCATCGATTATACAGCTGTGTTCCGGATATACAAAGTACAATAGAACATCAAAGGACAATAGAACATCAAAATTGTTGTACAACAACAATAACCAGATTTACAGTATTTACTTGTATGTATTTGATACCTATCTTCTAATCAATTTATTGCAAAAAAAACAAAAAAACAAAACAAAACTCTAAACATAAGAATTCATATCAATGCATAGCTTTGATTTGCCTACGCAAGAACATCTAGTAAGCGATTTGCTAGAAGAACTTGATTTTAATTCTACTTCTGGAGATCCAACTTCTACACTAAGCTCACTTCTAAGGATAAAATTCTTTAAATCACGTTTAAATCTTTAATGCCTTTAACTTTCCAGTCAATGAAAATGAATTCGATTTACCTTACCTATACTGGATTCCTAAATTTTATAAAGGTCCTTACAAACAAAGATGCATGGAGGTTCCAGCAAATGCTCTACCAAGCCCCTATTCTGACTCCTCACAAAAATATTAACTGCATTGCATAACCTTGCTACAGCATATTCAAGAAATGGTGTAAATCAAATGTGAATTTTCAAAAACGCCTACCGAACTATTAGAAAAATGTAAAATCACAATTTTTTTTTCCAAATTCAGTAACATTAGAACGTATGACTATCCAACATTTTGTACAACCATCCCTCAATATAAATTAAAGACCAGGCTGTTTGATATCATAGACAACTACTTCTTCAAGAAAATACAACTTGGAATTTTTTTCTATCTCGTGATTTATAGTAGTTAAAAAAAATTACTTTGTTAAAATCATTTTGATTCTACACATAAGTACTCTGAGGTTGATATAAAAAAAGATGCTGGAGTTCATCTTGACAATATCTGTGTAGTCCTTAAAGACCTTGTCTGCCAACAAACTGTTGGACTTCCGATGGGCACTAATTGTGCTCTTTATTAGCACACCCTTTTTTAAATTTCTACGAAGCAGAATTTATTTAAAAAAAAAAAAACCTTTTCCACGAGAAGAAAACTCTTGTCTGGCCTTCAGTTCCACTTTTATTAGATATATCGACGAACTTTCATTCGTCTACTAGATACATGTATTTATAACATTATGAAGGACATAGATAACTTCATTTAAGATAAAATGGTTAATATATAATATTTACATTGTATTTATTGAATGAAAACATCATAATTTGATAACACACAACCAGTTGGACAAATGGAGAAGTGAGTGGCATTAAGTGATGCATCCTGTCACCTTTGTCTACCATCAACACTCGCCCTGCACAAAGGCTAATTAATTGTGGCTCGTTAGGTGTGATAATTAACGAGCTGAACTGTCATGGTGGCCATAAACTTGTGTCCTACTGAAGGCTGGGTCGCACAGTCAGTACCTGCAGGAAAAATAAATTTAGTCACCATCTTTGACATGCTTTTATAAATAGAAGCATCGAGTATTTTGAAGAAAAAAAATAATATAAAAAAAACAAGAATATTTCCTTACAGTGTCTATACACGAGACCACTAATTTCAAACTGGGACCTATATATAAATATTTCCAATAAATATTAATATTGCCAACAATAAATAATCATGAATATGACTTTGTTATGAATGGTTTCTTTGCCAAATCTCTAAGCAATATACATGTTGCATATTCATAAGAGGAAGCTGTCCATTGTGCAGGTAATGGGACTGAAACTGACAAC